ATAATTATATAATACGTAAGTTTATAATAATAATAATTAAAAAAAGAATGTCACGGAATTGAATTTATGTTATAATAATATGCGTTTAAAGCCGCTGATACATGTTATTAATATATATATTTACAGTCAACTATCTTTAGATCTTTGAAGGGGGATTTTTCTCTATAACAATATAAAATATTTATTTGATATTATCCTTCATATGATTATGATATGATTCGTTCTTTAATATACATATATATGCATCTTTTACGACTTTCTTCGAAATAGCAATAACTAAACATAAATTTTTATATTTTCTATTTCAAAAGGAATATCTTCGCAGGTTTAATATTGCCTATCATAAATTTTAATGCAGTTGTTGCATTATAATATCTTTTATAACGATTATATTTAATATAAATACCTATACTGAGTTTGCTAATATTTTACTATAGTATAATATTTAACATATATGGGATATTTCACGTGAAGTGATCAAAGGGAAAGAAAATGGATTTTTTCTTGTTAATTATTTTTTTCTCTCATTAAATATTGAAATCAAATTTTTTTATTATATTATCAGTTTTGAAAGCTTTTTTTGATGTTCTTTCCATATGTGTGATTTTCATTACAAAAATTTTTTTTCAAAATAATTATAAAAACAAGAAAATAAATAATTTTTTATTTTTTTTTTGATATAAGAAGACTATTGAATAAAATATTTAAGATTGTGTTATATATTTTACAAATTCAAAAAAAAAAAAAAAAAAAAATTTCTGTCACAATGGGACTCTATAAAATAAATCGTGAATCAAAGTCAATCCAATTTAGAATGTTATTTCGATCACAAGTCACGCTCGTATGTTCGTAACTCAATTTCACGGCAAAGAGTTTACCTGTTTGGTAAATCTACTGTATATATATAAAAAAAAACATGTTGTAAGTCCTCAATAGTCCACTTCTACTTATAACTTTAGTACTATAAAGAAATTATAAATAGTTAAATAATATTTGAATTTCTTTACATCAATGGTGGTTTTTTAAATTTTCTCAAACTTTATTTATTCGTAAAATATTCTTTTTTTTTACTTTTACACACATTAAAATAATAAGAAAATTTTGTATTAAGTTTTACAGTGGGCCTTTTAATCCTTTTGTTTATATAATTTGTTTAAAAAAAATTTTTCTTTTTTTTTATTTTTCAAATTAAAATTTATTTTAATTTGCTTCTCTATGAGTTTACTAAAACATCATAGTGCCCAAAATACTTTTCATTTCAAAAAATAAAAAACAAAAAAAAAGTGAAATTTTTTTTTTTAAATTATATAAACAAAAGGATCTAAAACTTCAAAACTTATTACAAAATTTTCTTATTATTTTCATGTACGTGTAAAAATAAAAAAAAAATCGCGTCCAAATTTAAAAAAAAAAATTTAATTTATTTAGAAAAAATCGCTATTTTTTCTAAACAAATTCAAAATTATTTTTTTTTGTTAACATATTTTGAAAATTGATAAAAAACTGAAACTTTTTTGTATGTTGGTGATAATTCCTAAATTTAATACTTTTAGAGTTAGATGTCATTGAAATTAGGAGTATTTTTAAAAAAAAACCCAGAAAATCAGATTTTTAAAAATTTATAACTCGAAAATTTAAGCACTTATAAAAAAATAAAAAAAATACGTAAACCTTTGTTTTCTATAAAGATTGAAAAAAATATATTTACCATATATATGTATACATATTATAATCATTAAAAAAATGATATTGATATTATACTTTAATATATTTTATAATAAAATAGTTACTCCCTTGCACGCATCTATCACTATAAAAGTCAAATTACTCAATGAAAATTAAATATAGATTTTGTACCCCTAAACACATCTTCCTATTTATTGAGGTACCCTCTATATATATATATATATATATATATATATATATATATCTATAATACAATATATTAAGATATATAACATCAATAATGTATTTTGTGTATCAATCTTTATCAGTTTTATTCAATTAAAGTAAGTGTCCTTCCCCTGAAATAAAAATTGGGTTACAGATGAAATTGTAAAGAAATATATATATATATATATATATATACTAGGGGCTTAATGTTTAGACAATTTCTGGAATTTAAAACTATTATTAATATTTTATTAATTATTTCTTTAAATGTCATTTACGATTTTTATTAACAATAATTTTTATTATTTTCAATTTTTAAAACAAAATTTATCTAATTTTTTAAATTTTCCAGCTAAAATTTGACCTACATTTAAGGTTATGTTCGTTTTTTTAAATCATTTTCCTTCAAAGTTTGACCTAAATTTTGAGGTTATGTTTGTTCCTTTGTCTTTTTGCGCCGAATTTTGGCCTAAATTTTGAGGTTATGTTTGTTTCTTGGTCGTTTCCCGACAAAATAACTTAACCTTAAAATTTAGTTCAATTTCGGCGGAAAATCCACCTCTCCTTCAACGTAAGGAAGGAGGGGGGTCTTGCGACTATATTCACAGTCTTGAAACGAACATAACCTTTAAATTCAGGTCATTTTTGTCAAAAAATCTACCTCCACTTGCGGCTATATTGAAAGTCTTGAAATGAACATAACCTAATAATTTATGTTATTTTTGGCGGGAAATACGGAGAGAGATGAGGGAAGGGGGAACGACTTGCTGCTCTATTCAGAGTCTTGAAACATAACATAATGTTTGCGATTTAAACTTAAGGGTTAGTTTACAATGGCGGCATGAAAATTACCACTAAAATTCCAGTAGAACGTCCGAAATATGCCAAATCTTTATATTTTTGATACCTGCCCCATCCTGCTTTTTCTCTATTCTAGTTCTTTGCCCTGTATCGAAAAAATCTATCATTTCCTGCAAATTGGCAAAATTCGGATGTTCCACTTCACAGATTATTTAATATTTATTCAACATGATTTTGACATGATTCTTAACTTAAAAAATTATGTTTTATTTATCATTCGTAGATGATTTTAAGTTCAAGTTCATTCTGTGTGTATTAAATTTACTGTATTTTTATCCAATTTGTTCCACATAATATAAATAAAATAATTAACCAAAGAATTATTTTTTATTTAAAATTAATATATTTAACTAAAATTATTGATTCAATCGATAATAATTCTATTAATCTTTTCGTTAAAAATAACTAATTATATTAGTTAAATTCACTTTTAGGTTAAATTAAAAAAATTAAGATTTTTCGTAACTAATTTAATTAGTTAAATTTGTCTATTATTTCACTAAAAATTAGTTACTTTATTACTATTAATTATTACTATTACAAATTACAACAATAAATTGAATTGTAATTGAAAGTAGTGAATTTCAATTAGGGTATATAAATCTAAATATATATAGAGAAAAATTTCCAATTTTAAATTTTTCAAAATTACAAAACTGAAAATTCGAAAAACATTTTTTTATCAAAATAGGTACAAATATATTTAAAAAAATCCATAGTAAAAAAATTAATATAAAATATAATAAAAATATGTTTAATATTACTTTTAACCCTTTTTTGTTAAATTTCTCATTTTCACTTAATAATTCGAAAAAAATTTTTAAAAAAACATTTTTAAAAAGTCTAAAATTAAAATTAAAGAAAAAAAAAATCTTGTTCTAAAATTGTGTTCGAGCAAAAATTAATTTTTTGAAAAAATCAAAATTTCGGGCAAAAAAAAATCAAAAGAAAAAATTTTGTTCTAAAATTACAAAGTTCTGTACATTTGTTTGTGCTAAAATTATCTTTCAAAACATTCAAAGTGGAAAACTTAAATTACTAGGAAAATTAAAAAAGTCCTACTAGACTTTTTTCTAAATTGAATATTTTTCGATATCAAGCAAAAGTGTTTCTTTATCATTTAAATTAATTGCCGTTTTTTGGAGAAAAATAATATTTTTTCATCAACAAATTCTATTTTTTCATTTTTTATGTCACAATTAAGCAAAAAAAAAAAAACACACAGTACAATTAGGCACACGATTTGTTATTTGAAAATTTCAATTTTAGACGTATTTAAAAAATGTTTTTTAATTTTTTTGCCCGGAATTTTGAGTTATTCAAAAAAATAAATTGATGCACAAAGAAATATTTTTCATGTTTTTAATTTTGAAATTTTAGTTTGCAACTTTTTTTCCTCACTTTTGTATACCGCAATTGAAATTCAATTTCTTTTTGTAATTCATAATTAATTCTACTCAAAAATGTATAGTAAATTTTACAAGGAAAATAATTTTTTTTATTCAAATTGTTCGAAAGAAAAACAAATTTTTCATGCTTTCTAAAAAGTTTGCGTAAAATTTGAAATGAGTTCGATTCGAAATTATAACGATTCAATTAAATAAATACCATTTAATTTAGCGGTTTTATAATATACATATTTAATTTTAGCAAAAATTGAAAATAATTTTTATATTTAATATTTTGAATTTATTTTTGTATATTTTTAACGATATGTCAAAACTTAATGTTTCTGTACAGAAATATTTTTTAAATGCACAATGTCACGTGGTAAAACTTTTTTGCTGATTGTAAAACTGATTTATAGCAACATTTAAATCCATCACACATAAACAAAAAAAAATTCTATTTCATACGAACGTTCATCATAACTTATAAAACAAAAATCTAAACAGAATTAAAAAGTTTTATTGTAAAACAAATTTTTCTTATACATATTTCTTTTTTTTATAAATAAAAAAAAAAAAAATAATCTTTCTTTATCAATTATAATTTTTCAATATAAATTTCTATAAATATTCAAGTCTATTTAAAATACTTCCTCTATTATATGAGGATGCAATATAATTATTGATAAATCAATTTTCAAGAAGGAATGTTATTTTCATTGATTAAATAGCGTTACAAATTTCATTATTGGAATCCATTAATTATAAATCAATTTGTTTTAAACTTAGTTTTTTTTTTATTATAAATAGAAAAATTATTGAAAAATTTGTTTGAAATAAAAAAAAAATGTCACTTACTACTTATATGTGTAGCAAACTTTTAAAATCTTCAACAATTGAAGGCAACATATTATATTTTGTTATTTACTAATTTTTTTTTTCTTTTTATGAAACAAAAACGTGGTACCGATTGAAGAAGCGAAAAAGAAACGCTCCAACACACGAACGAAACGGCACTGAGCGCCGCGACGCGTGGCGTCTCTTGATATGAATGCGGGCGTGTTGAATCCAACACTGATATCGTATACATTCAAAGAGTCTGCGCATAATTTTTCGTCCTTTAAAAACAAAAAAATAAAATAAATTCATAAGCACGATTACAACATTACTTTTAAAATTATATTTATCACATTATATAAAATTTTACTTTTTCACATTTCATTAAATTTTATTCAGTTGAAAATTAATGAAAAACAAAATAAATAACTTTTTGTACTCGGCGAATTATTTAATAGAAAAACCCTAAAAGTATATTTAATGAAATATTATATAGTGAAAAATAAATTTTAACGACAACAAAATTTCTTTTCATATATTATATAAATAAAATTAAAATAAAATTTAATTAATTACTTATTTGATGTACATACTGAAAGAAAATTATTTGATCTAAAAAAATGATTTATATTGTTATTATTCATTATATATGTATATAAATGAAATAAATACTTATACTAAACTTAAATATTTTATTGCTTCCAATAAATAGTAATTTGGATCAAAATAAAATTAAAGTTAAAACAAAAAAATTGGTGCAAATAAATATTACTTTCAATCAACTACGAAAATTATTTTCTTCAATAACCCAGGCAGAAAAGTCGGTGCGGTGGTGTGCCGATGCTTACGACCGGCATGACACCAGCCCGGTGGTAAAGTCGGAAACCAGTACCGACATCGTTGTACCGTGCCGGATGTTCAATGACGACCGGCATTACACCGGCACCGGCCCGGTACTACCATGTAATAACGTTTTTATACCGGCAATGGAGTTCTGCCGGCTTAAAAATTAGCACCGGCCCGGTACCACTTGTCAATACCGTTTTTATACCGGAAACGGAGTTATGACGGCATCACAATTAGTACCGGCCCGGCACCGGCCTGGTACCACTTTTCAATACTGTTTTTTCACCGGCAATGGTGTTTTGCCGGCATCACATCAAGTCTTTTCCAATTTAATCTTATAGAATTTTGATAATTTAATAAGATATTAAATTAATTTCATGCCACTGCGTTTCTGAAAGTTTTTTCTTTAAAGCTATAGTACCGGGTCGATACCGTGCCAGCGGTTTATCTTTTGCCTCCGTCCCAACGTATATTGTTATAAATGTATGTATAGTACTAAATAATTATTAACTTTGCCATTACATAATTGAAATTGACTTTTAGATAAGTTGTTTTCTATTAATTTAGAACTTTTTGCAAATGGTCCTGGTTTCAAACTTTATAAGCGCACTTTGCATTTACTTCTCACCGCGCCAGCATAACGCCGGCAGAAAATTAACGAAGTATTTTTTAGCACCGACCGGCGGAAATGCCGGTATCTCGCCGGTAGTGTGCCAGCAGTAAACCGGCATGAAAACACTAAAAACAAGAACCGGGGCGTATATTTCCCGGGTTATCATTGTTGACTGGACCGGCAACGGGCCGGCGAAAATACCGGTATCACGCCGGCACCGGCAAGTCCGCCGCCAGTACCGGCCCGGTACCATGCCGGTCGTCGATTTCTGCCTGGGAATATAGGTTTTTGTATTCAAATAAATATTTACTTGTAAAGAATAAATTTTTTTGTGTTTTGATATAAATAAAAAGAAAATGTTTTGAATTATAATTATTTGTTTATCTGAATTGGGTTCATTAAAAGTAAAATCTTTTTAATTGAAACAAATAATACTTTTTTCAGCTCAAAGTGAATATTAAGAGAGAGGAATGGTCTCTGAAATTTTTTGGCAAGAAGAGACCTTTAATTATCGCTCTTTAAAAACGGCACTAAACGTGAAAATGATAAATATTGATTTTAAAATACTTTCTTCTCGAAAGACGGACACTTTTTACAAAAGCAACTAGAGATCCTTATCTTATATAAATTTCCTAAATCCTAAATATTATACGAATCCATACAAAAACACGATTACAAAACGAAAAGTAATATAATGAGGGGTTCATTACCTCCTGCCGCCGTCAGATGGCAGCAGCATGCAGGGCACATAAAGTCGCAGCTGTTATTAGATTACTTTTCTACTTTTTGTTTTGCAACCATGTTTTTCTATGGATTCGTACCGTCTTTTGGATTTAGGAAATTTATAAGATGAGGATTTTGGCTGATTTTGTTAAAAGTGTCCGTGTTTCGAGAAAAAAGTATTTTAAAATCAATACTATTTCACGTTCAGAGCGATAATTAAAGGTCTCTTCTTGCCAAAAAATTTCAGAGACCATTCGACTCTCTTAAATAAATTTTGTCCCTCTTAAAATAGTTCTTTTAACATTATAATTTAATACATAAGTGTTTATTTCATGTTTTGAAATTTGTGGCCTTAGGTCTTTATTAAGAGAATTACGTTATTTTCAATATGTCAAAAATTTTGTTAAATTATTTATTTTCAAAATCTTTTGTCTATGCATTTCACCATGAACATGGATCTTCAGGACTAGAATTACAAAAACAATTTTTTATGTCATTATAATCAAACACAAAGTCTCATCTATAATTTTAGTACGTACCGCATATAAATTGGAATAAGTTATATTTAGAATAAGAACGAAGTTTTTAGAATAAAAATCTGTAAAAACAATTATGTTATTATTTTTTAGGTTAAAATAGTAATTGCAATTTTAATATCTAAAGATCAGACTTACCATAGTAATATTTTTAATATGTTTTAAAAGATTTTTTGTTTACAATTTAATATAAGTCATTATTTAAGTTATGGGTTTGTTATGGTTTAAAATTTAAATTTAAAAACATGGGAGCACATGGTTGTGCTACCCATGACAGTTAAACTAACCTAAAATATGAGAGGGAAAATATTTTTGAAAGCTGGAATATGAGATACAAAAACGTAATACTTGTAGTCTACTAACAGGAGTAAAGAAGTTACTTATTAGTCATTTGAATTTATATTTAAATTGATTATATCATGATATAAAATAGAAAGGTTTTCAGTGTCTGATCTAAAGTTCATGGAATTACTATTTTTTACAATGTGGAACATTTCAGTGATATTTCTTTTTCTATAGTTTTTTTCTGTGTCTAATATAAAAATGTCTTTAGAGTTAAAATTCGCTTTATGGTTAAGTTCAGTGGTATGTTTACAAAGAGCTGTGTTTTCCTTATTATTTTTTTCTGCAATTTTATGTTGGTAGATTCTATTTTTTAAGTGTTGTTTTGTTTGTCCTATATAGACTTTGTTGCAATTTTTACAATGTATTTTATATATTACATCAGTTTTCTCAAAATTTTGGATCTTATTTTTGAGGGAAGGATAAATAATATTGCAAAGTTTGTTTTTTGTGGTGAATATAACAGTAATATCAAATTTTTTACAAATAGTATGAATTAATATAGATATTTCAGGAATATATGGTACTACTAATGTTTTACTAAAATTGAGGTTGTTTTTTGTGGTATTAATGTTGGTATTAGAATCATTATTATAATGACATAAAAAATTGTTTTTGTAATTCTATTCCTTAAGATCCATGTTCATGGTGAAATGCATAGACAAAAGATTTTGAAAATAAATAATTTAACAAAATTTTTGACATATTGAAAATAACGTAATTCTCTTAATAAAGACCTAAGGCCACAAATTTCAAAACATGAAATAATATAATTGGTATATAATTGGTCTACAAAAATAATTGAATTGAATTATAATTTAATTTTTTAAAATCGGATACAAACACTACAGCAATATAATTATTTATACCCAGATAACACACGTACTAGTACGGTAGTAGTATAATACTAGTACGACGTACTAGACGTACTAGTACTGTACCAGCCATGTACCTTCGCACGGTACCAGGTACTGTACTAGTACGGCGTACCGGTATGCAATATCGGTAGAATACGAGTACTATACGAGTACGACGTACTGAAAACTTTTGTGACTTAGTATAACGTACTGTTATTGTACTGGTACAATACTAGTATGATGTACAATATAAAATATTATATACCCTCCCCTTTCTCTTCCCACAATAGTATTTTCATTATTTTCATTTATTATTCAAAAGAAAATCTGTGGGAGAACTGAAATAATAATAATTCATTTTTATTGAATCATTTTTTTTATTTACATCATATATGTAACTTGTATTCTCACTTATCTTAAAATATCTGGTATTTTATATTATTTTAATTACTTAACTTTATCAAATATTAATTGATTATTTCTTTACATTTAAACATTATTTCAAAAGAATTTTAAACTTGATGTTATAAATTGCTTTGAAAAACATATTATCACATCCTAACCTATAAATATGTTATATGTATAAGAAAAACTATAACGAAATAACACACAATTGAATTTAAAAATATATCAATATGATCAAGACCGAATTTATGAATTTTTCTCATTATAAATGTAAAAGATTTTGATGTTTTTCAATGAAATAACACCATGGCACCATGTCAAAGTAAAAGAATATAAATCTTATAAAGATCGATAATTTAATATAAATTTAATCTCGGATATTCAAGATGAGTACAGAAGCACAAGTTACAAACGTTAAAACTCTTTTGCTGCATCATAAACGACTTTTTTCACCAACATTTAATGCACCGTTTTCAGTGACGCGTTCATATTTGACAATTGTCAAGAAAGTGAGGTTGGGTTGGCATTACCAGCAAAGATTCCCAGTACGACGTACCAGTATTATACTTGTATCGTACAAGTATGTTGTGCTTCTTATTTCAGAAGTACGACGTACTGGTATTGTACTAGTACTATACTTTTATCGAGTAATCATATTTTACAATTCTAACAGTACGACATACTTTTATTGTACTAGTACCGTACTGGTACGACATATATAATTATTTTGTACTTGTATAAAACTAGTATAATACTAGTACGCCGTACTCGTAAATAACGATTAGTACGCTTGGTTATCTGGGTATGTAAAATTAAAAATAAGTAATTATTTTATCATTTATTACAGTATTTATTAGATTAAATAAATTCTGA